CTCGGACGGCCGCACCGCCGCACTTCCTGTCATAGCGAATGCAAGTAGGGACATAATTGCGACCAATACTGAGTAGAAGGTTGCTAGGCTCCAGTTGTGGATTTCTGGAATGCCTTGGGTAAGATGAATCACTCGCTTCCACTTTACGGGACACAGTAAATCCGACCAGGCTTGCAGGTAACTTGTGCGCGAGTGTTACCCGAACTGACTGCTCATTAGCTGAAAAGGATGGTGATTTGGATTGCAGGGACAACTGCAACCCCTACAGCATCCACGCGCCTTTCTTGACGTGCGTGCTTAGCAAGACGCGCATCAGGGACATTGCTCAGGACGAGCGACCACAGGTCCTGAGTGCAGCAAGGCTGGCCCAGTCGATCGATCCCGAGGGTCACGTTGGCATCAAGTGCAAATTCGAGGTGGGATCTGCAGTGGGGTGTGGCCGCGGGTGGGTAGCTGCGGGAGGGAGCAGCGGGAAAGGCTGTGGGCTGTGCTGGGTGCACGCGGGGAACACGCGCGGAGGGAAGCGGGCGGGGGGGAAGCTGGCGGGGGGGGAAGCGGGCGGGGGTTAAGCTGGCCAGCGATGGGTGGGGCGTGTGGGAGTAGGAGGAGGGGGTGGGGGGGACAAGGAAGGGCGGGTTAGCCGTCCAGGGCAAGCTAACGCACGGCTGGGCAGCAAGGCGGTTGTCCCTTGGTTGTCCCCTGCGCAGTTCCAAGGGAAGGAAGTGAAGGGCCGGATGCTTTTCAAGTACGAGGGCGTGCAGGGTGCGGATGGGCAGCTGTGGTTGTACAAGCTCACAGACCTGTTCAACACCGAGGTTTGCGAGCAGACGTTCGCAATGATTGAGATGTTTGGCAACGTGATGCGCACTATGGAGACCGGGAGGGCGGAGTTTTATTTCCAGGAAATGCTTACGGAGCACAACGTCGTGGTAACGGCTCGCTTAGAGAGGCTGGGGTTAATGCCGTCAGTTCCGCCTGACCCATGGGTCGATCACTCGGTCGCTATCACGGCGAAGAAGTCCGTACCCCTGCCCACGTTCCAGGCGTTGGGCACAGTGAAGCGCTGGTGGCAGCGTCGTTAAGAGGGTTCCATGGGGCTGTGCAGGGGGTTGCAGTGAGATCCAGGGGGGACACTTTTCATAATACTGTTATAGCTTCTGGTCTGTAACATCCAGCGATGGCAGACAATGAGTCGACAGGAGGTAACCTATAACCAATAATTGCCTATAACCATATAACCCTATAACCATATTATATAAAACCTATAACCTATATATAACCCTATAACCCTATAACCATATTTGTAATTGCCTATAACCAATAATTGTTGGCTTCAAATTTGATGTGAAAAGAGTTTTCCGTACTACGAGGGCTTTTCCGTAGAAAGGGCATTTCCCTGGAAACGACGCTGTTTCCTGGGAAACAGATAGGTGTTTCCGAGCTATGCACTCAAGCCGCTGTGCATCCACCACCGAACCCACCGATTCTACTGAACAAGTCCTACGAACACCGAACCGGGTAGGGAAGATGGCGGCTCCGAAGTTCCCTCCCACACCGAACATGAATTACTTACGCTCAGACTCCAACTCGTCCAAGATGAAATCGAGTTGGCACGTCTGAAGAACGCTGGTGTCAGTCCCTCGACTACACCTGATGTACCGAAGCTGCAAAGATACCGGGTATCGAATCCCGCTTTACTTTCGGAGCCGAACCACCGCAGCCGAGCAAGAACGGAAGCCTGGAGACCTTTGCCAACGATTTTCAAGGAAAATATACACCGAACAATATGGATGACGCGAATATCCACCTGGCGCTGTCGAGTGGTTCTCCGAATACCGCACCGATTTACAGATTGCAAACAAACCGATGTACCTTCCAGAAGTCCTGAAGGCCTTCCTGGATTACCTCGATCCGAAGGTACGCACTAAGAAAGTTGATGCACTCGAATCTTTACTTAAGGGGGAGGTCAAGATGGATGCTTCCAAGGGAGTGGCTGAATACGCTGTTCGATTTCGTGAGGCAGCCCGGGCAAAATTTACCGCGCAAGAACCGCTAGCGAAACTGTTTTTCCTGGATTGATACCTGAACTTCGCTCGCTTTGCCGTGTTGATCGATCACCGAACTCGTTACGATTGTGCGATTCGCGATTACCGAAGAACGAAAATTGCAGATTCGCAGGCAGGGTCAATCTCGTGCGGCTATCCACTAGCTGCCGCCGCAGCTACGAAAACTAAACACCGTCCTCATGTTTCTCGGCAGGATGGCTTAAAACCGACTGGTAAACGAACCACCGAACCGCAACCCTGGCGCGACGTTGTGGCGCAGCGTGTCAGGGCGGAGCGCCCTACAACAACCGAAATTACCGTGGCAGCCGGAACTGCATCTAACAACGTGCTGAACACCGTCCGTCAGACAGAACGTCTTGCCGACGCCCACTTTGACGTAGCCCTAGACACACTGCTGGATGTGTTCACTATTGTCTACAGTGAGTACTGGGAGGCCATCCCAGCACCAACCAAGCCAGACAGCAAGATGAAGCTCAAGATCATCAAGGACCACTACTGCAAGGAGCAGGTGGGGCCTGGCAGCAGCAAGGTGCCACTGAGGCTCAATGGCATGCTGCTAGATTTACAGCAGCTACTATTCATCAGCACAATGACACAACTGGCTGGCGAGCAGTACCTCACACAAATGAGGGAGCAAAGTGACAATGTGTGGCTGGAGAAGCTGGACAAGCATCCCCTCAAGTGGCAGCTGTACTTCAGAGCCGGCAGGTATTGATCAGTATAATGATGCAACTGGCTGCCAAGCAGCACCTCGCACAAATTAGGGAACAGTGGCAGCCATGAAGGCTAAGATGCAGCAAAGCAAGCAAGCCTACCATGCACTGCTGGACGACACACTGACCTCATGATTATGGCAGCGGATCAGCAACACGTCAGGTCTTAGAAGTGCCTTGGAGTTTCCAGCTTTGGCCAAGATGGTGTTCATGTTCATGGTGGAGGATAAGCGGCAGTTCTCAGTGATGGCATACTTGCAGGACCCAGCCAGCAACTGGCTGGATGAGCACCTGGCACTCTGCATTCACATGTTTACACAAGACCTTTACAACCAGCATTTGTTCCCCTTTGAGACAAGGGCCCTGGAGAAGTAGAAGGCTGCCAGCAGCAGGGCCCGGTACATAATGAATCACTAACTAGCATGCAGCATCAGCAGCAGGGGCTGCAACCAACCCATCACTGAGAATCGCCACTTGTTCTCCACTGACCTGGGCACCAACATGAACACCATCTTGGCCAAAGCTGAAAACTGCATCAAGGAGCCAGCAAGACCCACCGTGTTGCTGATCCGCTGCCATAATCGTGAGGTCAGCGTGTCATCCAGCTGTGCATGATAGGCTTGCTTGCTTTGCTGCACCTCGACCTTCACTGCTGCCAGCTGCCACTGCTCCGTCTGCTCCCTCATTTGTGTGAGGTGCTGCTCAGCAGCCAGTTGCGTCATTGTGCTGATGAATAGCTGCTGGCTCTGAAGTACAGCTGCCACTTGAGGGGATGCTTGTCCTTCTTCTCCAGCCACACACTGTAGCTGTGCTCCTTCAGTGGCCGGGGTGTCTTTGTGCCACAGAGTGTGGGGTTAGGAGTCTTAGCTGCAGCACCAGGGTTGCTGCTGCCATCACCCTCAATGCCCATGTTTCCTGGCCCATAATGATTATCTCCATATGATTAATGTTGAAGTTTGGCCTGCTTCAACCAGAATGGCATCATTACAACCAGGTGGCTGCAGCATTTCATTCACATTGCCTATGATCTCTACACCGTCTTTACACCGTTGCTGATGGCTTCAATGAAGTTTAATTTATGCTTTAATAGCCTGCCACGCGTTGGGAGCTTCAGATCCGAATATTTTGCAGCATTTGGTCCAGTCAGAAACAGTTCTATTCTTTGTTGGCTAGCAGGTGTGACCTTTGTAACAGTATCCATGGCATTGAAGTGCTATGTTATGGTTAATATGCATGATGTGTGAACAGGGGGGTATATCTTTGTGCATGGCTGCTACCCTGCGAAACCCTGCCTTCCCTGGTATTTCGGGGCGCCCTCACCCAGTCACTCCAGCCAACTTCTCAATGGGTCGACAGCGGCCCAACTCCATTCCTGGTCGGTTCGCAGGTTTCCTTTATCCCAGGTCACCACCGTCCATCAACTAAGGGCACAATACCTCACACCATGGACGGATTTTTGACCTTAACGGGTATCGATCCCGGGATCTCCTGGGGCTAATCTCCTGGGGCTAGTGGTCGTACCTTACCAGCAGTGCCAAACCCATGAGTCATGGTCCCATGAGCCGTTCGGGGTGCCCTCTGCTGCCCGCTTTCCTACGGTGCATGCGTGGGTGTGCACGGGCGGTTGTGGTCACAGTCATGGTCGTGATCGTGGTTGGATGCATGCGGATGCACACGTTCGGATGCATGTGGGTACACGTGTCACCAGTAGTGCCAAACCCAGGTATGTCTCCTGTAAGATTTAAGATTCTATAGTGGCTTTGGGATGGACAGCCCATTTTTGGTTGGCTGGAGGAATGAACTCGTACAGTCTGAACATAATCTATTCCTAATTTTCAGGACCACAGACAGTTTTTTATTCCGAGTTCGGAAAATATATTCTGCTGTACTCGCCAGATTGAATCCGGTTACGAACATAGCACACTTCAGGCATGATGCAGCATATTTCTTACCCAAAAGTGGATGCCTGGGTGGGTGAGAAGTCTACCTACCAGCTGAGTAAAAATTAAAGACCTCCATCTCAGACGGGGACTGATGAAATGTCATAATCCTACAGGATTTCAAATAAACAAAATCCTATGGGATATGCAGAGTGTAGTGTCCTGGGTATCACAGGATCTGACATCTGCCAATCGGTTCTTTTCTGGAAAAGATGTGATACAGGGATGCCTGAGGATGTTCACTTGAGTGTGTGAGGAATGTCAGAGGGGCTCATAGGCATCTCCCTGAGTACTCTTCAGCTCCCTTGGCATCTCTCTCTCTCTGAGTACTCTTTGCCTGGTGCTACTGTGTCTGCCACTGCTGCCATGCAAGTCCTGGCACCTGTGGGTGTAGGTTCTGATGCAGCCAGTGACAGAGGTGCTGGCCTACTACAGCGGCAAAATCCACCATCACAGGCCCAGCCTTCTGGCTCAGGGCCCAGCCTTCTGGTCCGATGCCGTTGCCACCAGCAGTGAGAATCGCAGCAGTGAGAGCAGCACCCCACAGTGCCAGCATACTTTGGGCTGTCTTGGTGGAGCTATGGTAACATGCCCAGAATTGGTGCCTCATGGCATGGCATTAGTGACATCCACTCTTATGGTCAGTGCACTCATGGTGTGTGCCGTCTGTGGGGTCTGCAGCTTCCCCTCCCAACAAGCAGTAACACTAGGCAACCATGTCACCCCCAGACAATGCTGCAGGTGGTCCACCCTACTCCTTTCACAACTCCCTGCATGCTGGCAGCACCACAACCCCCGACAGCAGATGGCACCTGTGCCCCCACTGCACATCTGCCTTTCCCATCAAAGAGGGCAATAACAAGCACCTGCAGCATGTTGTGTTCCTACTACACTGAGGTGGTTGTGTCCCTGGACCCTGTGGATCGCATGCAACTGGCCCTAGTGGATGTGGGCATTGGGTTTTTCCAGGCTGCCTTGGATATGGCCATGTATTTATAATGTTACAGAGTGGGAGGCTTCTGGGCCGCTTTATCACATAGTCAGTTCTACGATTTATCACCTTATAGCAACATGTATATGTGGGCCAGTCCATAGATCCACACCGACACTTCTGCACCCATGCCTGGTCCCCACCCACACACATGCAACCTGATGCTGCAGCATACCTGCCATTCCAACAGCAACTCCGTCAGAGCTCACGCATGGCTGACATCATGGAGGTGTATTACAGCAACAAATTCCATGCAATGGGACCAACAACCAAGGGTACAACATCCTGCATGATGCACCACACTTCGCAAACAGCACTGGCCACAGTCCATGGAACAATGGACTGCTTAACAGCGCAAAAAAACAACATGAAGGAAAGCTCAAGATGAAGACTGCAGCAAATAGAAGTAATTACTTCGCTAGCTTGTCTGCTGAGGGGGCCAGCCACTAGGTCACCTGCTCCTGTGAACCTGCCACATGTAATATCCATGGCCGCATCTGATTCACGATGCATGTGTCCATGGCTAACCAAACTTGTCCCATCCCCTAATGGGTAACAAAGGGGACAGAAAACAGTGGCATTCATCTGGCCAGAGTGTATCTGGGTAGCCAGTTGGGCCCAAAACAGATTTGCTGCCGTGCTACCGTAATGCCAGGATTGGAGCTAAAGAGGGCCACAGCGGCTGTGGGCAAATGTAGTGAGTGGGGAGCTCAGCCACATCATCTTCAGGTCGGGAGCATTGCCACGAAAACTTGCTGCGCTCAAAGAGTGAGATAATCGTTTGAGTACAAGGAAGACCTTTGCATTGTTGTCGGTGGTGCTTATAGGCTGCCCCATCCTAACCAGGCCAGCGCAGCCCCTGGTCCGTTCGCTGCTCTGTACTATCACTGGTGCGGCTAAGATAGGCCGAAATAGCCGACACCTGAATGGTCTTATGAAACGAGGCTGCATGTGCCACTGCTCTGATCAGTCGTTTGGCAACCGCACAAGGAATTTCGAGTCCCTGCAAAGCGGAATGCGGTTGACCGTGCCGTACATGGCGCAATGTTTAGCCAGGTGAGGTTACAGCTCAGACACAAGGACAGGAAGACTTGTAGATTTACTGACAGAAATTGTAATGTTTTGCAGTTCGTTAACGCGCGCTTCTGAAACCATGTCGTATCTTCGGAGCTAGTGGAGCTTGAACTTGCGTGTACAACGTGTGAGGTTATGGCGCGCTAATATGACTATTTAAGCGGACCAAATTATGAACATTGTAAGTCTAGTTGAGTTTGAAACCGATCATCTGTGCCTACGCAAGTTTTTCGGCAAGTAAAGCCGGCTTACGCTTCCCAGTTGTTAGGTGTGGCCTGGTTCCCTTTCAATTGGTATCAGAGCCTAGGTGATCCTCCTCGCCGAGCTCTTCGTCTTCGTCGTCGTCGTCGCGCCATCGCGCCATCGCGCCATCGCGCCATCGTCTTCGTCTTCTTCTTCCCCGATGGCTCTCGTTCCCACGGACGCCAACCGCGACCGATCCCGTTCGCGGTCCGCGGAACTCCCGAGCAACGTCCACGAGTCTCCGTTTACGACGCTCACGCCCATCCCCACTATGGTCAACCCCGTCCCTACCGTCCCCATCGTCGACTCCGTCCCCACCACCTCCGTCACCGAACCATACGTCCCCTCGCTTCAGGAGACCATCGCCGCCGCCGTCCGCGCCGCCGTGGCCGACCTTCCGAACTCGACCCCATGGCCGACCCTACCGCAGCCTCATCCCGGACCCTCGCAAGCCTACGCCCCCGTTCCCAGCTTCGCCCACCCTCGGTCACCATATTCAACGCCAAACCTCCTGCATATCGCCCGCGACTTTCCCACCTTCGATCCCAAGGAACCCCGGGCAGACATAGTGGGCTGGGACATCCTAATGCGGCACAATCTGGACATGGCCGGTGTCCCCGTGGACAGCCCCGAGGCCGCAAAAATCGCCCTGGCAGTTCTCCGCGGAACAACAGGTGACAGTCTGCGGCGCCTAAATTCGGACCCCGCCACCCGATTCCACTCATACCACGCAGTATTACAAGCACTCACTCCGCTGGCCCCAGTGATCCAACACAAATTAGATGCACAGCTTGCAATGTTTGAGCTGACGCAGGGTCCCGGACCAAACTCCCTCCAGCGCTACATCGCGGAGTATAAGCGCCTTATGGCCGATCTACCATACCGCCACGAAGAAGACCACGTCCTCTTCTTCGCGCGGTCAGAAATAAAGATACCGTTCGTAACAATAACGCCCAGCTGCGATTGACTTACCTTATTTGTTAGTTGACTCATACGTCCGGAATCAGGTGGAGTCGCCGTCTGGAATCACAGATTTACTGAATAAAAGCCTTTAGGATGAATGCTTAAGCCGTCTAGGTTCCCTAACATTGCGTTGTTACGGTAAATATGGCCTTTTCAGCGATACCGGCCTTGCCGACACTGCATGGATTCCGCCTTGCGCAGCGCGAGGAGCCCAAACAAGTGCGTTGCAATGCCTATAGGGCACCTGGGGGAACTCGAGCCTTTTTACCGCCTCGTGACATACCGACTTTGGCGCAGGTTCCACAGTATGAATTTCTGGCTCCGCTGCTGGCGTTGATTTCCTCCAATAAGAATACGGAGCTGGCAGATTGTTGGCGATCAGATACGGACGCAAGAGAATGGCGCGGGGTAAAGGTCTCGGAGGACAGTAACAAACTTGTTGAATTGTAAGCAAACGCGTTTCTGGAAGATCGATGTGTTCTGTCTGAATTCTATGATGTTTTTTAACCGCTTGTTCAAATATGTAACCGTCGGAAATCCCAGGATGGTCGATGCCTGCGGCATCAGCGAGCTGCCACCGGCGTTCTTCAACCTTCCCGACCTTCAAAAATTGTAGGTATCGTTGTTGTATCGGCGCTCCTCATGGCTATAATCTAAGTGGCGTTGGTTAACCTGCTGGCCGTCGTGGCCTAGTTGACCCTTCGCCTTCACAGCTCACCTTTTGAATCTCTGAACATCCCTCCCTTCACCTTGTGTACGGCGTACGACCTCTCCTACGCACTTATATTCTTCCAGGTGGCTGAGCAACAACGGCCTTCGGAAGCTCCCCGAGGAAATCGGCAATCTGCCACAACTCGATTCGCTGTAAGCGGAACAGCGCAGCGTATGGATGCAGGCTGCATCGATGGATCTCGTCCCCCCAGCTCCCCAAACCCCCACTCTAAATAGGGCCCCTTTCTGGAGCCGCATCGTATATGTATTTGTGTATGTCTGTGTAGATGGGCGGTGGTTGGTGGTGGTAAAGAAGCAACAGCTGGCGACCCAGGGGAGGGGGAGACTGGAAAAGGGAACAGCGGGGCAGCAGTGCCGGCCGTCGCAAGGTCACATACACATACACATACACATACACATACATACATACATACATACATACATACATACATACATACATACATACATACATACATACATACATACATACATACATACAAAGTTGAGGCGCCGTTGATCCGCTAGATTTGGTTGGATGCTGGTGGTGAGTTGCTGAACCCAACGAATACATTCCGAAGTCGGATGGGGTGAACGGATTAGGGTGCCCCTCTCGCAGGGGAGAGCAGGGAACTGCCTCGGGAAAGGGGGTCGCTGGTGAAGCTTAACCACCCTGTAACGACATACATACACACACACAAACACACCCGCGCAGGTGGCTGGGCTCCAACTTGCTCCGCTCACTGCCCGGGGGGGTTACCCAGATGACCCAGCTCAAGAAGCTCTGGCTGCCAGCCAACATGCTTGTACGACTTCCGGCCGAGGTGTGCGCCATCACATCCCTGGAGTGGCTGTAAGTACGACATGTGGGGGGTTTGGGGGTAAGGGGGGTCGCAGGGTGCCGGTTACAGTCCCGACCCCCCCCCATCCGCCAACTCCGGCTCGCTATGGAGGTTGGCGAGGAGTGGGTGTCGGCCTCTTATGGAGGTGGGGGAGAGGGGGGCCACCACCCAAAAAACCAAATGGGGTATTACATTACTGTTGTACGGCTATAATATAATTCTGTACTGCTGTACTGCTTGTAGCGACGTATCTGAGAACAAGTTGGAGGAGGTTTGTGCGGAGATTGGCCAGTTGACGAGTTTAACCAGGTGGGCTGACCCTCTCACTTGGCGGGTTGCGGGTTTGGGGAAGAAAAGGGGGAGGGAGGGAAAAAGGGGAGAGATTCATTCGTGGCTTCATACACAAGACCGCGTCTAGATAAGGGTTACCTTATGAGTCTCCACCTGAGAACCCGGCCACCCGCCAATCTCGCCATGCTTTGAATGCCGCCGTTCTGCTAGGAAACGTGCTTGTGTGTGCGTGTGTGTTTGTATGAGTATGTGTACTACTGCGGCTTCTCATCGTAGTATTCCCCCTCGCCCTCTCCCCTCCAAATTGTCCCCCCCTTCCCCTTCCCCCCGCCGTGTTGGTGATGAAATGTTCGTGTGTATTCCCAGACTGGACCTGCACACCAATGTGCTCAAGGGCCTGCCACCCACCATCGGGCGGCTGACACGAGTAAAACACCTGTGAGGGGGGAAACAGGGGGGCGGGGGGAAGAAGGGAGGTATGGCGTAAGGTGGCGGGGCGGGTCCAGGGAGGGCAGCGAAGCAAGGGAGGGCACTGCTTGATGGGGGTAGGGGGGGAGGGGTAGGGGGAGGGTTTTCCTGTCTGCGTGTGTGGAACCGGTCATCAACTGAGTGCGCCTTTGGTGGCGAGAGCGGTGGCTGTGTGTATGTGTAGGTGTGTAGGTGTGTATGTGTGTATGTGTGTGTGCACGTTCGGTGCCTAATACTCATCTCCGAACGCGATCCCCCCCCCTCACACACGTTCCCCCTTACCCCCTCACATACTTTCCCCCCTACCCCTTCCCCTTCCCCCCTACCCCCCCCTCTACCCCTACCCTACCCTACCCCAGCTCCCTCCACTTCAACCAGCTGGAGTCCCTCCCTCCGGACATCGGGCAGTGCACCTCCCTGGTGTGGCTGAGTCTTAATGCCAACCAACTGAAGCAACTACCAACCGAAATGGGGGAGCTGACGGGGCTGGTGCGACTGTGAGTGCGAAGGGATGGTTGTGCGGTCCGAGGGGTTAAAAAGGGGGATGGAGGGCGTAAGCGTTCTTTGTATGTATGTATGTATGTATGTTTGTTTGTACGAGCCGCTGAAAGCGAAAGTACCCCGAGGGGGAGTGCGAGGGGTTACCCCGGGGGAGCTCCCCCGTGCGAGGCCGTCGGAGGAGGAAGAGGAAAAAGGGAATCATGAGGGCATGCAGCCCTGGGGGGCAAGCACGATGCCGAGATAACTTACGGCGGACAGTGTGTAACGATTTACTACAATCTATAAATACATAACCAAACCATTCATAACATGGAGGGGAAATTGAGGTGGCTGGACAATTAGTGGTGAAACAGCTTTCAGGGGGGTTTGGTTCCCCTGGGCCCACACACACACACACACGTTCCAAGTAACTATATCTCTCTCGGTCGTCGTGTCGCTCACCCCCTCGACCCCCCCTCGACCCCTCGACAGGGTGTCTCTCTCCCACAGCCCACTTGCACCGTGACGCGCCCTCCACCGCCCCCTCACACCTCACACCGCCTTTCTCGCTGACCTTGGGGGTGTGCGGGTGCGAGTGCGGGTGTGGGTGCGGGTGGCACTCGTGTGCGACACCCCTGACCAACCTCCCTATCCCTCGTCCTTCCCCCCTCTCGCCGATGTTCGCGCCCGCCCCCCCCACCAAACCCCCTCAACCATCCCCCTCCAGCTCCCTCCACATAAACGAGCTGGAGTCCGTACCCCCCGAGCTGGGCCGTCTGACCGGCCTGGAGGCGCTGTCTCTGCACAAGAACCGGCTCACCCGCCTACCCCCCGAGCTGCCCCTGGGCCTGGCCGGGAGCTGCTGCCGACTCAGCCTGTACGAGAACCAGCTAGGGGAGGTGCCGCCCGAGCTTGGGAACATGGGGCTGCTGCAGGAACTGTGAGTTTGTGTGTGTGTATGTCTTTCTCTCTCGCTGTCATGAGGCGCGTGAGGGGGTGGGGGGTCAGGTGTGGTGGTGGTGGTGGTGGTGGGAGAAGTGGAAGGTAGGGGGGAAGGAGGGAGTGGGGGGGGAGGGGACTGGGCGGAAAGGAAGTGGTTGTGAGGAAGTCTGTCTTCTCCTCCGCCCGCT